GATTTTATTTATTTATTTGACAGAGAGAGACGCAGCGAGAGAGGGAACACAAGCAGGGGGAGTGGGAGAGGGAGAAGCAGGCTTCCCACGAGCAGGGACCCCGATGCGGGGCTCGATCCCAGGACCCTGGGATCGTGACCTGAGCCGAAGGCAGACGCTTAACGACTGAGCCACCCAGGCGCCCCTCCCAGTACCTTTTGTAGTGTTGTGCTGGAGTATTTGAACCACATCCCAGGCACCGTATTATCCCCCTGCTTAGACGTGGATATTGAGACCGGGAAGGTTCAGAAAGGCTGTCAGTGGTACAGCTGGAACATTCTACATACCCAGGTGCACCCTTGTCTGGCCCCCATATAGAGAAACAAAGAGATCTGCTCAGAAATGTGCTGACTTGCGCTTTCTCTCCAACCCCGGTCACATACACATTTATACATCATGTACACACAGTCCCCCACACAGATGCACCCAAAGACAAACCCAGCTGGCCCAAAGCACCCCACCTCTCCCACCCATCCCTCCTTTGCTATTGGAGGATCTGCACACACGCATGAAGGGCCTACTGTGTGCTTGGCATGAAAAAATAAACCTCCAACGGCCATTTTCTCTTTTTTGGCACCCTCAACCGACAATCTGAGCAAAAACAGGGTCTAAAGGCCACATCTGCCCTCACTCCTAGCTTCAGAAGGAAATGGATTCTAATTAATTTTGGTCATATGGAACTATTCTTGAGCACATTGAAAATTCCTCATATTCGTCTGCTTTGTATACTTATCTCACAGATTCTCAAAACAGTCCAGGGCAGGGGTGGGGTAGGTTTTAAACTCCAGTGTTTCTGCTGAGGAAACAGAGGCTCACAGGCATTCGGTTATTTGCCCGAGGCCTCAGAGCTAGTATTTGACGGCACTGAGACTAGGACTGGGCTGACACATCCCTCCTTCTTCAGCTTTAGCTCACCACTCTTTAGGGTTAGGGAAAAACAAAATGATGCCTCCTGCCTCCACGTTTATGTATTTATTCTGAATTTCTTTGTTAAAATGCATCTGCACTCCTCCCTTCATAGTAACAGTGGCTACCACGGCCAGGTCCTAAAGGCCTCACAAGTCCTGAGGTCCAGGAAGCAGCCTCCCACACAAACCTCCCCCCCGCCCCCCCGCCCCCAACTCTATCCCCTCTGGCAATATTCAGAACACTGCCCCGCTGCTCCGCCCCCAGATCCTCCTTCCTTCAGCGCTGACTCGCTACAAACTATTCAAAATTTATCTTTGGACCCTTCCCTTCCCACCAACTCAGACACTCAGCACCAGCTGGGGACTCCTCCGTGTCTGCAGGCCCTGGGACATTGCTGGTCTCTGCAGAAATGTTTATTGAATGAATAAATAAAAATTCATTCACACTAAGGTGTAAATGTGAAAGGACTGTTTTATACTTTAATGTGTTCCCTCTCCTAGGGGCAACAATAGCCCTTTAAGTATTTTACAGCTTACGAAGCTCCTTGTATTAATTCCTTTGCTGCCCCCAACAACTTTATGGAGGTAGGTACGAGATGAGGCATCTCTCAGAGAGGTGGTGTGATTTGCCCAAAGCCACACAGCGCATCTGCAAAGATTTGCCTCATAAAGTAAAGTGCACAGGTTCCGGGGATTAGGGATGGATATCTTTTGGAGGTCCGTTTTTCAGCCACTTAAGGGTAGAACCCAGATCTTCTTGCAGCTAATGTTCGGCACAGGGATTTCCGAGGGAGGATTTCTCGGAGCTGAAGAGAAAGGTGATGGGGCATTGAGAAGGGGGGCGCGAGGTCGCGACCCTGAGTGGCTGCATCGACCGCACCCGGGGCCGTTGCCGCGGTGGTGCCAGTCAGAGGCCGACCCCCGGGGCACCCAGGACCTGGCGGGCGCCGCCGCGGAGTCAGAGGTTACCGGGAGGATGACTCGAGCCGCTGGGGCGGACTGGCGGAAGCCTTTGAGCCCAGGCCGTGAAACGAGGTCCGGGTGCCCTCCCCGCACCTAGGGGGCGGCAGGAAGATGGGGCGCAGCCAAGGGAATACGCCCCCTGCTGGGCAGAGACGCGGATGGTAGGGCTCACGACTCCCCGAGCCCCTCGGCCCGGAAAGCGGCACCCCCTGCCGGCCTCGCCGCCTCACTGCACTCGGCCCCGCAGCCGCAGCCTCGCCCGGGCCGGACGCGGGGTGCGCACCCAGGGAGCGCCGGGCGCGCGCGGGGTACGCGCGGGGTTGCAGGTCGCGGGCTGCCACCGGGGGGCGCCGCTACGCACTACGCCCCGCTTCGCTCCGCGGGGGCCTCGGACACCGAACCGAACACCGCCCGGCCGGGCAGAGGCCGAGGGGCGACGAGGAGCTGACGCCTCAAAGCGGGGGCGGGCCGGCGGCAGGTCCCCCGCACCCCGCGGCCTGTCTCCGAGTGCCCCCGCGAGCTCCGCGGGCTCTGCGTCCCCCGCGCCTCCCACCCGAGCCCGGCGGCGTAGCGCAGCCCGGCCGCTCCCACTCCGTCCTTGGAGGGTGTGGAACGGTGGGTTTGGGGCCGGGGGCGGGTCTGGGGGCGGACCCGGAGGCGGGGCTGTCTCTGCGGCAGGGCCCAGCTCGGCTCCCCCCGGTCTCTCTCTGTCTCTCCTCCTCCCTCCTCCTGCTCCGGGCGGAGCCCGGCATGGGGGGGCCGGCGCCCGGCAGGCCAGGTACGGTGATGTGGAAATTGGGGAGCCTTGGTGCGGGGAGGTGGGGGGCAGGGAGTACTGAGGATTGGCGGGGCGAGAGAGACGGAGAAACCCAGGGTAGCAGGACAAGGGGAAGGGGAGGGGTGCCCGGGAACCTGGGGCCCTTGGATGGAGAGGGGAATGAAGCCGCCAGGTTTGGAACAAACAGGGAAGGAAGAGGACGGCAGGGAGGAGGGGCGCCTAGGAGGAGAGGTGAGGCCGACGGCGAAAAGGAGAGTGTGTTCGGGGGGAGGGAAACCAGAGCAGGTCTGGAGGCCGAAGCTCAGAAGGTAGCTATGGGGCCAGACCGGAGACCCCCGGGTGGGATTGAGGGCAGGGACTGGAAGAGGGCAGCCGGGAGCCTCTCAGATCCTGGAGGAAGAAGGGGATCTGGGCCATCATCGAGGGAGGTGGAGCCAGTCACTGAGGGGCCAGGGCACAGGAATAGGGGTGGACAGAGGCCGGGGGCCCAGGCAAAGGACTGGAAGGGGGAACTGCCCGCAGGGAATGGAAATGGATGGGTCGTATTGTAGATGCCCAACTCCGAGTGCCTCCACCCCTTCGCTAGCATCCCCACCCTGCCCTCATGACACCCCCAGCCTCAGGGCCCAAGAGCGGGTGGGGATTCTGACCATCTCCCCCTTCCCCAGTGGGGTGCACTGTACGCAAGTAGGCCGTAGCAGAACTCCTTGTCTGTAGGTATGTCCAGTTCCTTGCAGCCGGTGTGTGTATCTGGAGGTCTGTGTGTGCTGTGGGTGTGTCGGGGGTGTTTATGTCTGTGTGTGTCTGCCTGTTCCTAGGTTGTGTTTACCCATGCTGATCTATGTGTCTGGTCCTCTGTTTGTAGGTATGGGTCTGTGGCCTGGTGGTTCGTGTGTCTGAATGTGTGTTTGTGGGGCTGTGAGGCTGCTGTGTATTTGTGGGGCCTGTCTGTGTGGTAGATCAGGATGTATTTACAGGATGGGAATCTGTGTCAAGCTGATCTCTCTGGGATGTGTATCTGTGGCTCTGAACACCTTTGTCGGGTGTGTGACTCTGTGTACACATAGCCTTCCGTGTCTGTCTGTCTATGGATCCTAGAGGTAGTGTTGGGTTTTCTCTGCCTCCATCTGTTTTCCACTCTCTGAGGACCCAAGTCACATCTCTGCTCCTTTCTCTCTCTCTTTCTCTCTCTCTCATTCATTCCTGGCCCCCACCCACCCCACATCTTTCTTTTTTTCCTTCCCATCTCCCCCACCAAGTGGATCCGGGACCCAGGGAGGGCCGCCCCCCGGGCCTGGTGGCGCTGAGCAGGGCCCCCCAGCCCCCACCTCCTGCCCCACGACATGAACCTCCTCTACCGAAAAACCAAGCTGGAGTGGAGGCAGCACAAGGAGGAGGAGGCCAAGAGGAGGTAAGGCTACAGTCCCAGACTGCCCTCCGGGCTGTCCCACGTCTGCTTCCCCGCTGGCTGGGGCCACATCCCTCTGCCCTTCCTGGGTCCAACAGCCTGGTCATGAGTCTGATCTTAGAGTCTGTGCTCAGTACAGAATTGCTGGGATTGCATACACCCTGTCCCCACCCTGCTCCTGGCTCCTGGCTCTAGCCCTTGTCCTGGCCTCTTGGGGGGGCTTCCAGCTCAGGAGCACCCTGTTGGCTCTTCCCCACCCCTGGAGGCCCGAGTCACTCCTTCCTGACTCACCTCTGGCCTGTAGTCTTCTTTCTGTCAATGTGGGGTTGGCTCCAGGCTTCCCTGTCACCTGACCTTGGAAGGGGCAGGCCCTACTGCCCTCCTGGTCCAGGGACGGGGTCATTTGCGGGGTACCCGAAAAGATCCGTTTGGCCCCCTCCCCACCACGGCTGCTGGGGGAGGTCAGTGGCCAAGTGACAGGGGTGTGTGTGTGTGTGTGTGTGTGTGTGTGTGGTGGTGAGAGAGGTGAAGGCTGGGCCCTGCAGAGGGGCCAGGGCTGGGGACCTCCCCCTGCTTGCCCTCTCTCCTTGCCCTCCCCGGGACCTGGACCCTGGCCTCTCCCCTCTCTCTTCACCCCCATTGACAGCACAGCCTCTTGGAGCCTGAGTCAGAGCCACCTCCCTGCTCCCTTCTCCCTCCTCAAAACTGTGGAGTTTAATTCTTGTTGTTAATTAGATTAATCAGAGCTATGACTGCAGTGATCTCTCCCTAATGAAGGGTTAGTAGACAGGGCCTTAATGAGAGCCCACCCTACAGTGGCTCTCCCCTCTTCCCTACCAGCTGCCCCTCCCTTCACTCACACGGAAGCTCAGGGACAGTGAGAGGGAATGGGGGTGAGCCTGGGAGGGTGACAGAGAAAGGACAGCACCGAGGGAGAGGGAGAGGGAGAGCGAGGGGAAGGGAGGAAAAGGATCAGCAGGAGGAGGCTGTTCTGCCAATGCGGCTGCACAGGCCTCATCTGGGAGCGGAGGCCGCAGGAGCCGGACACGCTGGGAGGCCAGAGGCCAGAGGACAGGTGTGGGCCCGCGCGCGCGAGGAGCAGAGCCGTGGCGGCAGGTGTATGTGCCAGGCGGGGCTGTGCTGCCTGTCTGCATCTCTACCTGCGCATGAAGCCATCCACACAAGCGCCGCGTGCCAGATATGCCCAGGCTGGGATCAGACAGCTCCAGGGATGCTCCCCTGCACACGTACTCATCCCTTCACTCATCCCTACTCGCCATCCCTCCCCAATTTCCTTGTCTGTTTTAAAACCGAGGGATTCTGCCTGAAGTTTCTACTTCGGTGCCCTAGACCTTCAGGCAGCCTCCCATCCCCACCCCAGGCCCCTACCTCCTCATCCTGGGAGGCCACAGGGTTGCACACCCCCTCTGAGGGTAGAGGATGGGGAGGCCCAGGCCTGAGGCCCAACCTCTGTTCCATCTTGGCCTTCTCTCCCCAGCTCCAGTAAGGAGGTGGCTCCTGCAGGCCCCGCAGGGCCCGGGGCTGGCCCGGGGCCTGGGGTCCGTGTGCGGGACATCGCCTCGCTGCGCCGCTCCCTCAGGATGGGCTTCATGACAATGCCAGCCTCCCAGGAGCACACCCCCCACCCCTGCCGCAGCGCCATGGCCCCACGCTCACTCTCCTGCCATTCAGTGGGCAGCATGGACAGTGTTGGGGGTGGGCCTGGGGGGGGAGGTGGGGGTCTCACAGAGGACAGCAGTGCCCGAAGACCCCCTGCCAAGCCCCGGAGACATCCCAGCACCAAGCTCAGCATGGCAGGGTCGGGGGCAGAGATGCCCCCCGGCAAGAAAGCAGGTGAGACACCCCCAGCCGTCCCCGGGAGCTGGGAGGATCCATTCCAGGCCAAGAAGAGGCCTGCAGGGGAGGGTTCATTCAGGGAAGAACCAAGGAAATGGAAGCTTCCATTCTCAGTGGGAGTGGTGGTGGTGGGGGGGTTCTTTTTGGAAGGGCCTGAGATGAACCATTCAAGGGCAGGGGAAGCTCCCTGAAAAGTCCATTCCTGGGAAAGGGGTGGCCTTGAAGGGACATGAGGTGGGACAGAATTTACGGTGGGAGCTGCAGATTCTGGGGAGTTCATCAGAAGGACTGAGAGCAGGCTGGTAGAAAAGGAACCCACTGTGCTTTAAGTTGGGGAATGTGGGGAAAATAAAGACGCACATGTGCCCTTGCAGATGGGTTAAGAGATCAGAAGGGGTCTGCCCATCTCCTTCCCGCACTAAGAGCCCAGTTTGTTTTTCTCCTTCCCATTCTGCCCAGGCTCACAGAAGCCAACCCCAGAGGGCCGAGAGTCCAGCCGGAAGGTTCCTCCACAGAAGCCCAGGAGAAGCCCAAACACCCAGCTCTCTGTCTCCTTCGATGAGTCCTGTCCCCCAGCCCCCTCTCCTCGAGGGGGGAATCTGCCCCTTCAGCGCCTCAGTAGGGGGTCCTGCATAGCTGGGGACCCTGAGGTGGGTGCCCAGGAAGAGGAGCCCGTGTACATTGAGATGGTGGGGGATGTCTTCAGGGGAGGAGGGCGAAGTGGAGGGGGCCTGACTGGGCCCCCTCTTGGGGGTAGGGGCCCAACCCCTCCAGCTGGCGCCGACTCGGACTCAGAGGAGAGCGAGGCTATATATGAGGAGATGAAGTACCCGCTGCCCGAGGAGGCAGGGGAAAGCCGGGCCAACGGGGCCCCTCCATTGACCGCAAGCTCCTCGCCACACCAGCCTCCTGCCCTGCAGCCCCACACCCACCGTCGGCCAGCTTCAGCCCTCCCAAGCCGGAGGGATGGGACACCTACCAAGACCACTCCTTGTGAAATCCCCCCGCCCTTCCCCAACCTCCTCCAGCACCGTCCTCCGCTCCTGGCCTTCCCCCAAGCCAAGGCTGCTTCCCGAACCCCTGGCGATGGGGTCTCGAGGCTACCGGTCCTCTGCCACTCGAAGGAGCCAGCGGGTTCCACCCCAGCTCCCCAAGTGCCTGCCCGGGAGCGGGAGACGCCTCCCCCACCGCCTCCGCCTCCTGCTGCCAACCTGCTGCTGCTGGGACCCTCGGGCCGGGCCCGGAGCCACTCAACACCATTGCCACCCCAGGGCTCTGGCCAGCCCCGGGGGGAGCGGGAGCTCCCCAACTCCCACAGCATGATCTGCCCCAAGGTGGCAGGGGCGCCGGCAGCCCCTCCTGCCCCGGCCGCCTTGCTCCCTGGCCCCCCCAAGGACAAGGCTGTGTCTTACACCATGGTGTACTCGGCAGTCAAGGTGACCACGCACTCCGTCCTGCCAGCTGGTCCGCCCCTAGGTGTTGGGGAGCCAAAGACGGAGAAGGAGATCTCAGTCCTCCACGGGATGCTGTGCACCAGCTCGAGGCCCCCAGTGCCTGGGAAGTCCAGCCCCCACAGCGGGGCCATGGGCGCAGCAGCTGGGGTCCTCCACCATCGTGGCTGCCTGGCCTCCCCACACAGCCTTCCGGACCCAACCGCAGGCCCCCTGACTCCCCTCTGGACCTACCCAGCTGCAGCAGCTGGGCTCAAGAGACCCCCTGCCTATGAGAGCCTCAAGGCCGGGGGGGTGCTGAGTAAGGGCTGTGGAATGGGGGCCCCATCCCCCATGGTCAAGATCCAGCTGCAGGAGCAGGGGACCGACGGGGGTGCCTTTGCTAGCATCTCCTGCGCCCATGTCATCGCCAGTGCAGGGACACCGGAGGAGGAAGAAGAGGAGATGGGCGCCACGACATTTGGGGCAGGCTGGGCTCTGCAGAGGAAGGTCCTGTATGGAGGGAGGAAGGCAAAAGAGCTGGACAGTGAGTGAGGGGTGGGAATTTGGGGGTGGGGGACTGGGGATGCCTGGGATGATTTCGGGGAAGTGTTGGAGGGGTTATTTGGAAGCCACAACCCATTGTCCTGAAGTGGGAAGTTTTCAAGGAGACTGGAGAATAAGGGCATGCAGCAGTCTGGTGGGCTGGGGTCCCCATGTGTGTGCTGGACGGGCAGGAAGATCTGCGATGGGGAGGGGCTAGAATCTGTCCCCAAGGGTCGCCTCCTCCTGCCCTGTCCTGCTCTACTCCCTGCCCTTCCCTTTGCTAGGCTGCAGGGGTGTGTGTTTGTGAGTGTGCGCACACTAGGAGCTAAACACAGCTGCCTCCCAGCTGTTGCCATGGCAACCCATCCAGACAGGAGGGAGAGGAGAGGGAGGCCCCTACCGTTGCCTGGCAACGCAATGCTCTGCCAGGCCTCCTCTCGGAGCTGAGCTTAGTTCACTTGCAGCCCTTCCCCCAACACCCCCCCCTTCCACTTCCTGGCTCAGGATTTGGGATCTCCCCCTCCTGGGGGAACAGTGCTCCTGGTCTATGTTTCAGAGGGTGGCCCTATCAGGCCAGAGGGGTTCTGGAGCTAAAGTTGGGGTAGGGGAGACCCCTATGACCACAGAAAAGGGTTTGGCAGCAGCAAATATTTGTGTCTCAGGCCAGAGATGATACCAATGGGTGGAAAGGAAAGTGGCAGTATTGGGGTCCCTCCTGTGTGTTTGTGTTTGGGGACTGTGAAATAGGGTCCCTCCCTTCTCTGCTGTGACTTGCAAAAGGGCAGTCACTTCTGGTCCATGCACGCCGCAGTGTGTGTAGCTGGGGGGAACAGCAAGACCCTTCCCATGTACAGCACTAAGCTCTCCTTGTCATCCCAGCAGAGGTCGAGGATGGTGCCCGGGCCTGGAATGGCAGTGCTGAGGGTCCAGGCAAGGTGGAGCGTGAGGACAGGGGCCCTATGGCATCAGGGATCCCAGTGAGGAGTCAGGGGGCAGAGGGCCTGCTGGCCAGGATCCACCACGGAGGGGACCGAGGAGGGAGTCGCACGGCGCTGCCCGTACCCTGCCAGACGTTTCCTGCCTGCCACCGCAATGGAGGTGACATCCCGCCCGCGCCCGGACAAAGATGGGGCCGGAAGGGGGGGAGATCTCTCAGGGTCCACGTCCTGGGCTCTCCTTTTTAACACCACAGCGCCATCCCCTTGCCTCCCCTGCTGAGTCAGGGGCAGCCTGGAAGGGGCTGCCCTCTGGGAACTGCAGAAGGGGAACCTGGAGGCCCCTACTCTCCTCACTTACCTTTTCTCCACCTCAGACTTCACGGGAGGCTACCGCCTGGGGCGCTCGGCCTCCACCTCTGGAGTCCGGCAGGCCGCGCTCCATACCCCCCGGCCCTGCAGCCAGCCTGGGGATGCCCCAAGCCAGGTGAGGAGGAAGTCGAAGTTGGGTGTTCTTTTATTTGTGAAGGAGCGGGTGGGGAAGAAGGCCTGGGTGTGGAAAGAAAAGTAGGAGGTCAAGCCGGGGCCTGGCATGATCGAATAGGGACCCAGTGGCCGGGGGGTGGGGGGGGGCGTTGATCCTGGGAAAGGGCTGTATTTGGTGGGGACAGCCAGCCAGGCAGCGCCACCTCTAGCTTACCGTGTGCCTTTGTGCGTTTAGAAAATGGGGGGTACCAATTTGAAAAGTGCGTTCTACTGGGAAGACAATGATTTAAAGGTGCCCATTCCTCAGGGTGAGATGGGCCCAGCCTGGCACCAGGGCTCCCTGCCAGGAAGAGGGTGCAAGAGCTGGGTTTCTGTTCCTGTCCCACCCCCCCACACACACACCCCCAGCCAGGGGGAGAGGACAGAGGCCTGGGGGGCAAGAGAGGACTTGTTTCTGGGGGAAGACATTGGTCTTTGCAGTGGGGGACAGGGCCTGGTCACTCTGAGGTCCTTGACCCGCCCCCCTTATTCCTTTCTCCCCTCGTCGCGGGCCGGCGGCGGGAGGAAGGGGCACAGACCCACCCCGCCCTGCCGCTGCCCCTACCGCCTCAGCCCTCCCGGGAGCGCGACGGCAAGCTGCTGGAGGTGATAGAGCGCAAGCGCTGCGTGTGCAAGGAGATCAAGGCCCGCCACCGCCCAGACCGAGGCCTCTGCAAGCAGGAGAGCATGCCCATCCTCCCCAGCTGGCGGCGGGGGCCCGAGCCCCGCAAGTCCGGCACCCCGCCCTGCCGCCGGCAGCACACTGTCCTCTGGGACACTGCCATCTGAGGAGGCCCGGAGACCGGGGCACCGGACTGGGGAGCGGGGCGGGGGTGCCTGGCTCTCCGGGAGACTTGCCTTGAAAGAGGGACACTTGAAGGACCAGGTGAGAGAAAGCCAGGGAGAACCCCCTGCCTTCCACCCTAACCCCCGGAGACGGGGAATCTGCCAGGCCCATCGGGCATGGGGCACCAGCTGCACCCCCTGAAATTTGGGGGAGGAGGGTTTGAGGTTCGGAGTGAGGCCCTCCGCTGCTCTCCCTACTGGGCGAGGTAGACTCCTCCTCCTCCTGAGGGGGCCGAGCCAGAGGTCAGCATGGGGGAGGAGGGAAGGGTAGGGAGGATGGGGGGGGCGGGTCAGGTGAAGGACGAGGCTAGAGAGTGTGAGGTAGAGGGGCTCTTTAATAGAGCCGGGAGTGGGGAGGGGGTATTTATTTCGTTATTTATTTTAGTTGGGAGGGCAATTCTGGGCTCTTCTGACCTACTTCTGGGCAGGGAGTAGGCAGTGGTGGGCAATTAAAGGGAACCAAGTTTGTGCTCTCCCCAACGCCTGAAGGCCCCACCATCCACGCCCACCCTGCCGCTGGGGATTGGTCTGGACTGGGGAGCCAAGCAAGAGAAGGGAGGGACTCCGGTGAGCTGAGGGCCGCAGACTCATTTACAGTATTTACGAGTGGCCAGAATTTGGTAGTGAGTGTGGCCTGCTGTGAAACAGGCATCTTATTTAGCTCTGGGGTGAGGGTCTAGCACCAGGGATGGGCGGGATGATGGGGAAGGAGGGAAATTTTAGCGGGTGGGGGGAGGGCGGGGTATTTATTTAAATTTTAAAAAAATCAGAAGAGATGTCAGGAACTTTTTTTTAATTCCTTTCTTTTCAGAATAATATATTAAAAGACTAACGATCCTAGAACTGGCTTCTTATATTTCAGTGTGCTCTGCTTTTCTTACACCTGTTTCTTTTCCCTCTTGCCCGTGGTTGGTGGGAGTTGGAGGTGGTGCAGGGAGGGGTGAGTGGCTGTGGCAAGTAACAGGGAGAGGTGGAGTTTGAGGTAAGTCTGGGAATGCCACCATGCCCTGACTCAGCAAGCATTTACTGAGCCAGCCTCTGTGTGCTTGGCAATACACCCATGCAGAAGGAGCATTCAGACTAAAGCCTGCCCTCAGGCAGTGTATAGTCTGCTCAGGGTGATGAGCCACCTGGGACAACACTAGATGTTGCTACAGCAGTAAGCGGGGTGCAGGTGGGTACGGAATCATCTAAGAAGGCTTTCTAGAAAGTGAGCCTAAAAGGACAGGTAAGGTTTGGATGAGCAAGGGGAGGAGGGAAAGTCCCAAGGTCACACACACCGTATGATTGTCTGCAGAACAGAAGATGGGGGTGGGGCAGGAAATGTGTTTAAATAACGCAAAGGGCAATGAGTCAACCACGATGAAGCTGATTCAGAGAGATAGGCATCAAAGCAAGATTCTGATCCTCAGGAAGCAATCAGGGAGGAGGATAAAAAAAAGTGTCTGGGAGAATGGAGGGCAAGGGACAGTTTGCAAGATGCAGCCGAAAGAACATCCTCAGGTGGGGAATGAAGGAGTCGAATGGGGCATCCTCGAAGCCCAACTTTGGAACACCTGTGATTGGGGAAATGATCACTTTGACAGAGCAAAGCAAGGGGGTGAGAAGGATTTTGAGGGAAGAACTTTGAATGGGAAACAATGGTTAATATCCAGGTTGAAAGGTTTGTTACCAGCTAGAACAGACTTTCAAAAAGTGTGGTGGATGATACAAGAGATGTTTTTAAGCAATCTGAAGAACATTTTTTTGCCTTTTTTTTTTGAAGATTTTATTTTTATTTTTTTATTTTTTATTTATTTATTTTTAAAAGATTTTATTTATTTGACAGAGAGAGACACAGTGGGAGAGGGAACACAAGCAGGGGGAGTGAGAGAGGGAGAAGCAGGCTCCCCGCCGAGCAGAGAGCCCTATGCGGGGCTCGATCCCAGGACCCTGAGATCATGACCTGAGCCGAAGGCAGACGCCCAACGACTGAGCCACCCAGGTGCCCCGAAGATTTTATTTTTAAATAATCTCTACACCCAACATGGGGCTCAAACTCACAACCCGGAGATCAAGAGTCGCACGCTCTACCGACTGAGCCAGCCAGGTGCCCCAAGAAGAATGTTTTTTTCTTTAAACTTTAGTAGTTTTCTATTTATTTTCATTCCTATTAGAGAAATTATAACCAGCACATCAAAGTATTTGTTATTTCATGGATATTATTGCACAAGATAAAGATAAATTTATTTTTAATGAGTTGTTTTAAAGAAAAATGTTAAATAAATAATGGTACAGGTGTGATATACAGAATATGGAAAATTATGACAGCAATATGAGAATTTTTGGAATTTAGGAAACACCAAGTTGGAGAGGAAATGAGAGCTTGGGAAAGATGAGAAGACTGTAGACATTAGGAATCATCAACATAGAAATAATACTCAGGGCCTAGACTGAGTTGTATAAGGGAGAATTGGATAAAGATATGAGTTAAGAACAAAATATGAACAAGAAATAGCTTTCTACATTTTTTTTAAAGATTTTATTTATTTATTAGAGAGAGAGAGACAGTGAGAGAGAGAACACAAGCAGGGGGAGTGGGAGAGGGAGAAGCAGGCTTCCCACGGAGCAGGGAGCCCGATGCGGGGCTCAATTCCAGGACCCTGGGATCATGACCTGAGCCAAAGGCAGATGCTTAACGACGGAGCCACCCAGGCGCCCCAGCTTTCTACATTTTTATTTATTTTTTAAATTGAGATATATCAACATATAACATTGTATTAGTTTCAGGTGTCCAATATAATGATTTGATGTATGTATATATTGTGAAATGATCATCACAATAAGTATAGTTAACATCCATCCCCACACATAGTTACAATTTCTTTCCTTGTGATGAGAACTTTAAAGATCAACCCTCTTAGCAACTTTCAAATGTTATTGTTAACTATAATCACTATGGTGTACATTACTACTCTAGGACTTATTTATCTTATAACTGGAAGTTTGTACCTTTTATCCACCTTCACCAATTTTGCCCACACCCCAACCCCGTCTCTGACAACCACCAATCTGTTCTCTATGTCTGTGAATTTTTTGTTGTTGTTTTAGATTCCACATCTAAGTGAGATCATAGAGTATTTGCCTTTCTGTCTGACTTATTTCACTTAGCATAATGCCTCAATGTTGTCACAAATAGCACAATTTCTGATACCTTTTTAATAATTAGTTAGAAAATTAATGGAAGTAAGTATCCTACTTATAAGAGCAACAAGAACCATAAAATATCTCAGAGTAACTTTTTTTTTTAAGATTTTATTTATTTATTTGACAGAGAGAGACACAGTGAGAGAGGGAACACAAGCAGGGGGAGTGGGAGAGGGAGAAGCAGGCTTCCCACCGAGCAGAGAGCCCAATGCGGGGCTTGATCCCAGGACCCTGGGATCATGATCTGAGCTGAAGGCAGATGCTTAATGACTGAGCCACCCAGGCGCCCCTCAGAGTAACTTTAATAAGAAACGTGCAGGACTTATATTCGATCAATCAATAAAACTAAAGTCCTTTGAGTTACTTTAAACCAGGAATATTTGCATAAGCAGAGTAATAACTTATTCTTAGATAAGAAGGCCATAATATAAAAGATGTCAGTTTTCCCTGAATCCATAAATTTGATGCAGTCTCTAAATTCCAAAAGGATGAGTTGGGAAACTTGACAAAATAATGCAAAAGTTCATCCAGAATGATAATGAGAAAAACCAGAACATTCTGAAACAGAAGAGTAATGGGGGGACCTGGCCTACCAATATTAAAAGTTGAAACAAAAGCACTGTGTACTGGGATTGGCATAGGACTGGCACATCCATCAGAATAGAGTCCAGAAATAGTTCCAAATGCACATGGGAATTTGGCATGTATATGATAAATGTAGTATTTTAAGGGTGGGGAAAAATATTATTCAATGGTTGTTCCTTGAGCAACTAGCTACTCAAGGGAGAGTGTGGGAAGCTGGATTTCTATTTCATTCATTATGCCAAAAGATTTAAATGTAGAAACAAAACATTAAAATCAAAAAATGGGTGAACATTCTTCTAACCTTGGGATGGAGAAGGCCTTTCTAAAATGACATGAAAACCAGAAACAGACTGAAACACTTTTTGATCATGTTCTCAACTAAAACTTCTATATGGCAAACTCAAACTATGAACATTAAACTAGGAAAATCTTTTTTTTAAGATTTTATTTTTAAGTCATCTCTACCCCAAGGTGGGGCTCAAACTCACGACCCCGAGATCAAGAGTCACATGCTCCACGGACTGAGCCAGCTAGGCGCCCTATGGGAAAAGATTTCGAACATATGAAAAAGATTGATACGGTATACCAGAAAGATTCGTGAGTTGATAAGAAAAGGAAAAAACAACCCAAATGAAGGACATGAGCAGATAATTCACCAAAGAAACAGAAATTACCAACAAACATGTTCAACCATAACCACAAGTGATGTGAAATAAAGTAATAAATTCTTTTTATCTGTCTGACAAAACTGAAAAAAAATTCATAGCATCAATCTGGCAAGTATGTGTGGAAAACAGGCACTCATTGTGTAAAAAAAACGAAATACACCTTTTCTGGAGGTCAGTTTAATAGTATTTGTTAAAAATTTAAATGTACATAGTTTTGACTCAAATTCCATTTCCAGGAACTTATCCTATGGAAATGGTTACACAAGGATACAAAGCTAGATGCACAAACGTGCTAATTGCAGTGCTGTTTGAAATGATGAAAAATTGGAAACCACCCCAATTTCATTAGTATGGCACTAATTTATAGTAACAATGGAACACTGAAGCTGTTAAATTGAACACAGAAGATATCGATGTTCTAAACACAAAAAAGTTCACAATAAATTAATAAGTGAATAAAGCAATGTGAGGAAAAGCACATTTTTAGAAAAAATTATTCATAAAAAGCACATTTTTAGAAAAATCATTTATTTATAGGGGCGCCTAGGTGGCTCAGTCATTAAGCGTCTGCCTTCGTCTCAGGTCATGATCCCAGGGTGCTGGGATCGAGTCCCCCATCCGGCTCTCTGCTCCGCAGGAGGCCTGCTTCTCCCTCTCCCCCTGCTTGTGTTCCCTCTCTTGCTGTGTCTCTCTCTGTCAAATAAATAAATAAAATCTTAAAAAAAAAAGAAA